CCCCAAAACCCCAAAACCCCTCAATATAACATTCAAAATGAAGATTCACATTAATTTATTATAATATATTTAAAATTTCTGATGAATAACTACGGTGAATCTACAAAACCAATCTCAAGAAAACTTGCATCCAGCAAAGTTGATCAGCAAGAGTCTTCTAGTTATGATGAATGTGAAATATGCTTCAACAATTGGGATGAAAAACTCAGATATCCAATGGTTCTAGATTGTGGCCACACTTTCTGCTAAGATTGCCTGCTTTAAATCAAGCAGCAATCTATTGATCAACTGGTAATTAATAGAAATTTCATAACTTTAGAAACCAATTTAATGCCCAACTTGCCGAGGGGAGTTCCCAGTTGAGAATTTCAGATTGATAAAAAATTTCCATCTGTTTGAATCATACATGAAGCAGCACAAGAACTAACCCAATAAAGCTTGTGATTCCAAAACTCAAAGAAAAGTAGAGGAAGATGACTCAAAATCAAGACAACTCTTCAAAGATCGATCAAACTCAAAAGATTTCTCCTTAAGAATTGATACTGAAACTCTTAATATTTCTAGGTCAGATTTAACTAGACATTCTATGATAAGTTAGAGCTCTAACTATCATAGTGCTTGGAAAGGTGAGTCTACTCAGCATAGGATAAAATAAAATGACTTGAACTTGATAGGAAGCCATGAAGTAATTCATGGAGACAGATCAAATCAGATGCTAAGATAACCAATTCAGAGGGAAAATGTACCACCTTATAATACTTATGCTGTTTCAAACTCTCATAGGAAGTCTTAATCGACTATACCCAAAGATATCTAAGTAAGAATTTCACTTTTTATAATTTAGAATATGAGAGTAATGAACTTATTTCAAGATATAACTAATCTCAATATCAATGGGAGGATGGCAGAGTTGAATCTATTTGATGAGGAGGAGAAAAAAGAACAAAGCATCGATTACAGTTCTGCAAGATAAGAAGATAACATATTCTGCTCTTAAATGACTGGAGTTGTTGACAATATCTTTGATGATATATAATCAGTTGCTAAAACTCAAAAGAAGAGATAGGTTAACAAATCTAAGATTAAAGGTATTTAGTTGATTAGGAAGTATTTAAATTATTTATTATAGGGGAAAACAAGGATTTGTATATCTGCGGGCACTCATAATAATCCTTGAATAAGATTTGCTATACTTGTGATTAGTTATTTATCTGTTCAGTATGTGCATTAGAGTTGCATCATGGCCACTACATAGAGAATTTTCCTTATGAGCTTCAGTGCTTTACTAAAATGATCTAAAAAGATAACCTTGGTGGATTTGATAAAGTTTCTTAAGAAGTTGAAAATAGAGTTAATGATCCTTAATACTATGCAAAAATGAATGAGCAGCTGAATACACTAAATCTAAACTTCCCCAATTACTTTGAGTTCTTAAACCAAGGGTTTCAGGAAGCTCTGACGGCAGAATTCAAGAGAGCTCAATAGATATTCAAGAACGATCTCCCTCAACTAGATAACTTCTTCAATAGCACTTACAAAAGGCTTTAGGATTAAAATATATAGTAGTTCAATAATGCTACTCGAAAGCATTATGACCTAGCAAGCTAATTGAGCCAAGATTCTAGATGTTCTCACGATAAGATTCCAGTCTCTGAAGATGCTCATAACTTTTTCTGGTACTAAAATAATATCATGCATCCCTACAAAAATTTGATTGAAATCGAAGCAGAAATATCTCATAGAGACCTTTAAAAGCATTACTTACCTCACCCATATACTCTTGCAGTCTAAAAAAGTCTTAGCAATCTAAGTAATGAGATGCAACAATACTCTTAGATTTTTATTGAAAGATAGCAAAGTTGGAAAAAATGTATTGAAAGAGATCTTCCAGACTCAAAGACTGAGTATCTATATGATGTGACTTTCAACTCATTATTCCCTCACAGATGCATCTTACATCCAAAGTATACCAAGTCAAACTATGAGTCTATCGTCACATCCTCCCTTGTCAGGATAAATTTCATCACAAACACTATTAAATTTGTTCAGATTGTGGATCCTCACAGGAAATTCAGCAACTATCATTCCTAAACATTTGAAAGAAGAAGCTTGATATATGTTGGCGAGATGTTCTTGATAATCGATACCCATAAAAATCAGATGGGATAACTTATGAATATTGTTTATCAAATCGATTACAAGGGTGAGTTACTTCATAAGTTTTAACTAAAGGATGTCGATAAAGAAAACTTTTCAACCTGCGCTGATTATGAATATATCTATCTAATTGGTGGCTATCAATATAACTATTCAGACAATGATAATGTTACAGAAGCTGTAAGTGCAGATATAACTACAGCAAGAGTAATAAATATCAATGATATAAGATAGCTGAAAACTCAGGATAAATCATCATACATTAGACTCCAAGTTCCAAGAATTAATCCCTTGGTTGTAGTTAGGAAAAGCTTATTGATAGTATGTGGTGGACAGGACTTTGAGGAAGATGTGTTTATACCAAGTGTAGAGATCATTGAAAAGGATACAGGAGCCACCAAGATGCTTTAATTTCCAAATTAGTCTTTCTAAATCAGAACAGACTCACATAGTTTGTTTAAGTTAGATTTCATAATAGAGAGCCTTGATTCCTACAAGATTGTAATCTTTCATTCGGTTTAAAAGGATCAGCAACTGAGTTCAAGAGAATACAAGCTTGAAGATGGCATTTAGTGTCCTTAATTTAAGTGGGAAGCTTGCACCATGGATTAGAAAGGCCAAATCTCTCACTGGCAATAAAGTATGACTTCACAGTTAAGATAATCTTAATCTGACTTAGGAATGGGATCTTTTAGCTACAAGCATAGCATTATTAATCAATTAAATGACTCTCCTATTCCATTCCCACTAATTGTATTCAATGACAAAGATGTCAATCCAAGCGATGAATTCTCAATCAAGGTCATTCAGTATAACAATGACTATCAATTAAAACTGCTCTATCCCATCTCATATAATATAATGACTCTTGACAACGTCACACTTGACTATTCTCCAGAATTACCTGATGAGAAATTGATTAGGAAATTCAAAGGATTTGATTATTTCGTGAATGTGCTTTCTAATGGAAGTGGCAGCAATGGATAAGGATAGAGTTCCTAATTTTATCTCTGAATAAGTTAAGATATTCAAATTGCTTTTGTAATTGAATTCGCTTACTGTGATTAATTAAATTTGAAAAATCATTTGATTTAACTATTTCTTAATTCAGTAACTATTATTAATGGTGGGGTTTTGGGGTTTTGGGGTTTTGGGG